CGACGAATCCTCCCCGGGGAGAGTCGCTCGATGCCATCCGCGCTCGTAAATTACTTTTTCACGTCTCAAGTAGCTATATCATATCTCGAAATTTGGAGGATTGGTCTACAGTCTACATTGTAATATGTGAATATTTTATTGCAATTTGATGTCATCGTTAGAAATTACGGGTCTGTACGTTAAGATCGTATCAGCTAAATGCAATCCTGGCAACGAACATATCGAAATTATTCCAATGTTGAGACATCTTCATCTGCATTCTAACTTTTTATCTAATTACGGGATTATTTGTTATATAAATCTATATATAGTACTCTAAATAAAAGAAAAAATCGTAGACATAATTTCAATATAAAATAATTTATTTTTTTATATTTTTTATTCTATATACATCTAAAATTTATTTTAAAAATATATTTAATTAATGTTTTTTTATATGTTTTTATTGTATATTTTTAAAATTAATTTTAATTTATATGTTAAATCAAGCATTTTATGTATTTTTATCAAGCATTCCCTCTTTCTCTCGTTTTTATTATTGAATTTGTGAAATATAAGCTAAATTTATTTGGTAATTATTATTATATATGTATACAAATATATGTATATGCCATTTTTAAAACAAAATATATATTTCTGTATATTTTGTAATATCTTAGCTACAGCTACATTTAGTGAAAGTTGGTAATAGATCCAGATCGAGAGATTGCAGCATGATAGATTTTTAATATATTAAATTCTAATTATAGAAATCGTTGTTGGTTATAGCGCCGTAAGGAACGTGGACGGATCGCCGTGGAGAGCGTCCACGTGGTGGAGACGGCCAGCCTTGGAAGTGGTAGCACCGGAAGTGGCGGAGGCAATGGTGTTGGCGATGCATCGGGTGGCGGCGACGCGAGCAGCGGAGGCGGCGGAATACCATCCGGACTACCCTTCCAAGTGGGATATCGAGAAGCTGGCCAAGAATACACGCTCTATCTACTCGCCGCTCGCGAACAGGATCGCGCCGAATGGATACGTGCCATACGCGCTGGTAAGCCTTTTTTTATTCCTTTTTTTTTCATCCCACTGTCCTTTTTTTCCCTCTCTCGCATTGACATTCAATGCGGGCTCGTGCAAATATTGCGCTCGTATACAAGCTTCTTACGACATGAAAGATGCGTATTATCTTTGCTATTTATGATATTTATCTTGATATCTTATGATATATGTTGAACGCATTAATATTGATAATCCTTTCGGTCTCAAGCTTTATTGCAGATGAAAAGAAATTTGATATTGTATATTTTATAAATACAAGTATAAATTCTCATAGATGTGACATGATTTTTATAATAATTTATAAAAGTCGCATTAAATATAGCATAGTGCGCGTGTATGCATGCATATGAATTTTAAATATTAATTTTTCTTAAAATATAAATTAAAATTTATGACTGAAAAAGTTGAATCAATATTATATTTCGTGGGATAAATTCTAAGGTATCTTGCGCATTCATATAAAAAAGTAATACGATCTATCACATTAAAGGCACATGAATATACTATTATTAAGAAACAAAAGTTAGCGGGATACTTGTTTGTAGTGTGCAGTGAGAATTCGGGCTTGAGCGGGCGTTACCACGCCGGTCTCTGGAGCGGGAAACGTTGGTCTTGCTGCCGATTATCGACACGTTCCGCCGAAGGCTGCGACACTTGCAGTTCCTGGTCCGCGAAATCTGCTACGAACGCCACGAATCCGTCCTCAACGACTACATCGGTTTCGACAACATCGACATCTGTGCCCGGCAGTACCATTAACAACACCATCTCGACGACCACCGTCACATCTGATCATCGTGCACAATTAACGAACGCTGAGGCGAATAATAATCCGATCATCCAAACCCAGGCCCGTTCAACGATCGGTTCGTACTTTATATTTATTGCATGCTTTTGTCTTTGTCTTTTACAAAGCTCACTGAGATTTTAATTGGTCCACTGGCGAATCGATATATTTGTCGTTTTAATATCAACATGAGAGTTCCGTTATTATCGTATCGTTTAATAGCTAGGATTTGTTAATTGACGCAATCGATAGAAAGAATCAATTCGGGAGAGCGTTATTTATTTGCATTGGCTTTTTTTATGCCGATATATCATCCAGTTTTACCACGCATAAAATACGCTTGTCGAAATATCGCGCCGTATTTCATGCCGAAACATAAGCTAATTATATGATTCAATTGGATATATTATATATAATATCAGAAATGGCAATATTATATAAATGCAATATACGAATATTCGTTATCGTGGAAAAAAATTGCCCAAACATATTGAAATAATAAACGTGAAACAAATGCGCGATCATTAATGCGTGTGATCAGCAGCGTATAATTAACTGATTGGCGCTTTATCTCTCGTTAAATATTTAGTGGTACGCGCAATAACGAGTCTATCTCGTTTCAAAATCGACCGATACTTTGTTTGCTGGTGCATTAGCTCTAATCTATATTGCCATGGAGCGACATTATCTATCGGAATTTATCGGAATAAGCGGCGGATTCCTCTGCCCTGGAGAAAATCTCGTTTTTCTCGTACGATTGTCGAGCTAATATGAGGGCACCGGAAGAGGATTGTCTCCGAGAAACTGATTTTCTGAGAATCTGGATTTCTTGCGTCTTGTCTAACGATGCGGAATCGTTTGTAACTCGAAAAAGCGTTTTATGTGCATCTTCAAAATTGGAATTGTTTCAAAGTTCGCGATCTTCAAGAACATATATCGCGTACGAATCTTTGTACAGCTTTCACTATATTTGCACTTTTAATGAAAAAAAAAGATAAAGAACTGTATTTGTAGAGAGCAGTGTCATCTTGGTAGCAGGAAAATTTCTTGTTATTCGATTGAAATAATTCAATAATAAGAATGACTGATAAATTACACGTAGACACATACGTCTATATGTGTGCGTGTGCTTCCGTTTCTGAAATCTTCGTCATAAACGAGACAACCGAAAAACGATGAAACAGGAGTTTCGTGAAAAGGAGCACTATCCGCGAATTGGCGTAACGTCAAAGTCTCTGGCGTCTGCCACGAAAACTTTTCTCTTAGATAACAGGAAGCGTGACATTTTTGTGTACCGTTGAAACGCTCTGACTCTTCGAATTGCAACGTCGAAACTCGTCGAATCGACGCGACGCGTCGTTAAATCGCTTCGGTCAAGCGTCATTCCTCCCCAATAACCCGAGTGTCCCAGTTCCTTTATCGCTCGAGGCAAGACAGGCCTTTCGATTTCGCCAAACGAAACGGTGCTCCCGATACCGCGAATCGGTAATTGAAATTTCGTATCATCGCGATTTCGCGAGACGAATTTCACGTTTTCATTCGACGCGGAAAATGGTAGACGAAATCCCCGATCTTTCCTTCCGTCATGGATCTATCTGATTATCGCGAAGTGCTCGTTACTTACTAGATCAAAAGACGAGCTTGAGGAAATAGAGAAATTGTCACCAAGTAAAGTACATAATACGACAGTTACAAAGAGGGACTCTGCGAAAGATATACACTAGAACTCGACGCGTCGTACTTTCAGATGTATCTCTCTTATCTGCAAATATTATCTCTCCTCATTCGCAAATATCCAAAAGCGTGATATTCTATCCGGGAACGGTATGACGCAGATGATGGTTTTTACCAGGAAAATTTTATTATTAGATAGTCTTTTTTATTAAAAATCGATACGTTTGCCATCGCGAGCGATCGTGTAAAATAAGTGCCCACATGTATTTTTGTTTTAACAACGCGCTACTGTTAGCGTTAAATTAACGTGAAATGCAGAGTTTGAGTAACTAGCTGGTTTCCGTGCATTATCATACTTTTCATCATATTTTTGACAGTAACTTTTTCCATACACCAAAAGTTTATCTTTCTCGAATGTGTCGGTCCATCATACATTTGTGTTAGTCAGAAGCGGAATATATTGGTAGTGAACCGCATGAGACGAAACTTATGATAGTCTTCGCAAAGAGTTCCTTGAACGAAGCTGACCTACTTAAAGGCAAAATTGAATTTGAGATATTTTAATCGCAAATCTAAGTATTAAAACGACGCTCGATGTGCTTCTGAGGCGCGCATAATAAAAATATAAATTTAATTCACGAGATTAATCGAATTCATCTCGGTGAGATGCATCGAAGCGAGATGCCAGCGAGAGAATTGATTTCATTATTTAACTTATTTACTTAAAGAAGAGCATCTTCTATCATTTATCGTCTATTGTCGAATATTTGACGTGTTGTTATCGTTTTTCAGCTTTTCCGATAGTTCAGTTCAAAACTTGATGGTGTTACGTAACGACCATTATCCGATTAGCAATTATCCCAACTTGGTCAAAGTAATCGCTTAGGGCGTTTCTCGTTATAGAGATTGCCTGAAATTAAGTTCTAATATTATGACACTCCGATTAAATAACGACATTATTCTCCATTGATCTCCAATCGACGTGATTCACTAAAAATCTCGTCCGAAAAACTTTCCCGAATTTATCATTCGCGATGTAGTGCCGATCCGTGCATTGTTTTCACGGGAGAGATAGGTTTGCATTTATGCATGCAATATTCGACCCTCGGTACTTGAAGCGCGGTAGGGCGCAATTTAACTCGAGACCTCATCTTGATTTATGACATTGTATGTTTCGCGTAAGATTGCGTCATGTTCATTGAAAATCTCGCGAATTTAAGATAAATAATCGCGTGTTACATAAAGTTCGAAAAACAAGATTCTCTCAAGAGTTGGAATGTGAATAGTCTCGAATACGTCTCTGTATAAATTATACCTGTTCGTTACTCGTTTACGGCTTTGAGTATCGGGCTTTGACTCTCGCGCTTTTCTCCCTTGTCGTTAGCGCGCGCGGATCTTCATCTTTCATCCGGGTCCTGCCGCTTTAACTCGCTGCCGCTATATCAGACGTGACACGACTCCATTATATGAACGTCGAGTAGGTCGAGCACGCAATTAACAAGTTCGCTTGACTACGAGAACGGAGGCGCTACAGTTAAGCAAATGAGAGCTAAATCTTAACTATCTCCGGATACAGGGCGCATCGCGAAACGCAACAGCGGTCCCTTTTTTTTCCTCGAGCATCCTTCACTCGTCGTCGAGCGTGCGTTTTTCTTTTTAGTCCGACATGATTTTTTTCCCCCCTTTTTTGCTTTTGCACTGAAGTGCGAATCTCGGCGTGTATATTAGAGACATTCCGGAATCGTGTTAATGTCGCGCCAATTACGCGCTCCGTCAAATCGCGAATGTCGATCGATTATATCGAGTCAATTGATTATTTTTACATCAAAGTAATTCGCAGCCGTTTTCGTTTTCCGTTTTGTTTTCCGAGCGATTGCCTTTCATAGCGCGTCATTCGCGGGATATATCCGAGAAGGCGGAGATGTGTCTATCGGGACAATCTGCACGCTGGAGCGTGCCGTAAAATAAAAGCCAGACAAGCAAAGCACACAGACTACGCCGTATGGCGGATAATCAATAAATTGTAGTGAGAGATATTTGATTAAATAACCGATAGAGCACAATCGGTTCGAGAGCCACCGAGTTGGCTCGATCGGGGAAATGCGAGGAGGGAATTGCGGGAAGGGAAAAAAGACAAAAAAAAAAAAAAGAAAATGAATGAATAGAGAGACGGAAGACGGATTGATGTGGCGCAGCGAAGGCGAAACTAACGTAACGTTGCACGAGAAAGTCCCAAAGATACCTCCCGAATGAACTACTCAGTCAGTGTAACTGCTCGCGCCGCGACGTTTCCTTCTTATTGCGAATCTCGTTCGGGACTATTAAATCCGCAGCCCTGAATGAATCTTCAAGAGGATCTTCCAGTATCGCTGGCAAAATCGCGAATTCCATTTTGATTCTCAAAGACGCGAATATCGTTTGAAAACTGATCACGAGAGACACGTCGCGATGGCTGATCTGACGGTAATAAACGCTAATCGATTAAGAACATTCTTTCAAAGGATTATCGAGTGATCCCGATCGAGACGAATGACTTCGAACTCTTTCAATATGCCGTTATCTTTTTTGGTGCGAGTGAGTGTTCCAAAGATTTTTTTTCCAAATGTTCTATCATCGCGTTTGCGAAGAATATTATATTCACACATGCCTCGGATTTGATAGAGCGAGCGTGTAAAAACTTTTTGCTAGAAGCTATTAATGCGATTTTGGCAACTTTGACTTTAATTACAATTCAGATCGTTTCTCGTTGGAACGTTTCAGCTGCGAATTCTGTCCCATTGTCATATTTATCGCCTCTCCATTCTCGCGCACATGTATATAAAGTGCCTAGCAGACACCACGTGCAGATACAAGTTAAATTATTAAGAGCACAGCTGATTCGCATGTGCGACTATAAATACAGATCGTCGATCATTTATAAGTCTCATTGCGATCATCATTGCAATGCTATTTTTTTCTTTATTATATTAAATCTAAGCGCCTAAAATATGGTGCTTTAAAGTCTTTACCAATTTTATTCGCATTTCGCAAATAGAATTATAACATGTTTTAACGCGTAGATAGCCGGTTCTAGTTTCTAACCGCTACTTTATACCAGTATCGTATCGTCGCAAAAATGCCTGTAGCTGCGATCTCTCTCGCTGTTAAATTGTGCGTTTGGTCAGTGAGGCGTGCCACGTTAGCTAGTAGCTATCGGTTTAGCTATCGGCTAAACTACTTTTCTGTACACTATCTTTTGCATTCTTCTCTAAAAACTACTTTTCCTCATTGTTTTATTTACTTTTTGGAAATTTTATTAGATTATGTGTTATAAAAGAATACGTTTTTGCTGTTGCTACTGTCATCTTTGCAATGTTGAATTTTCAGAATATTATGAGAGAAGATATCCCAACGATATAAGTTGGTTCGTATACTAAATAGCGTAAAAAATCATAGAGAATTGACAAAAAAATAACTCGATAAAAAAAGATGGTATTTAAAAAAATGTATCAAAGGTCGATGAGAAATCTAATATTTATAAATCAAAAACACAATGCTCTTAATTCCACTAAAATACAATCGTCTACAATATGATTATCTGTATAAGATTATATATTTATCAGATTTATCGCAGATAATCTTGTACATTTGTAATAGGATATATAAAGAGACGAGATAATAAGTGATTCAAGTCACGAAAATTATTGATAATTTCGTTACGTAATTGTCGTTCCGTTGTGCGACCATGCGCAATCGTGTTGTTAAACTTTTCCAGCGTACGATATTACATTACGATATATCAATTTATTATTTTTCTCACTTCGCCGAGATCAGCAGATGATTGATAATCTTAATCTTTGCTCGTGACCCGGCTCGGGTCATCGGTATCTTACCAAACGAGTGCAGAAGACAGACACTAACTATTTAGCTGTGACACTAACTATTACTTCGCGAACCTGTCAGATAATAACATTTAATAATGTTGAAGTATCTTTCAATAGTTTTTATTTTTTGGTGTCAAACACAACGATATGCATTCGCTCAAAGTGACACTCAGACCCTTCCATTAACATCGCTAAAATCAAATAAACCCAATTGCAGTGAAATTACAGGTAAATAACACAATTTTATCTAATAATATATATTCTATTTCACTTACAATGAAAACAAACATTCTAAACATTTTATGCGATTCTTTTACTTTAACGTCTCGATATTTTATTGTATATATAATCACTTAAAGGAGGAAAAAGAGAGAGTTTACTACTGGAAAACTCTTTGTATTTTTTTTTCATAAATATTGAACATTAGATTATCAGTTATCACGAGAAGTAATGGACTCCCCGTGATTCACTCGTTCTTTTAAACATGATTACATAAGTAAAGAAATATAATTCAGAGTGTTAGAAAAACGCAAAATATTTTGTATACATTTCGAAAAATATTAAAAGTCTCTTAATTTTTCTATCAGAGGAGCTCAATAAAAGGCACCTGGTTAATATGAACGGTCACAATAACTATCACGTGGGCCAGCAGATATTTTATATGTACAACGAACAACAATTGAAAGGATTGTTACCAAGTAGTAAGGAAAGATTGGATGGCTACATCGTCACACCTGGCATAAGTGCGCACAAGCTTCATAAACGCAACCTCGTCTGGAATAAGGCTCGCCAGGCTTGTATCCAGGAAGGAGGTAAAAAAAAATACCGCGTAAATTGAACATCATTAACGGGCACGTGTTACCCGAATTTTTATAATTGGCTTAGCGTTATACCGTCTAAATGAAAGGATTGACGTGATAACGATAGATAACGATAGATCTCGAGAACCTCTTATTATACTTTATATACCATTAGGTCATCTGGCGATTATCAATTCGGATTCGGAGGAGAAGATCCTTTTGCGTATGCTGCAAGAGGAAAAAGTCAACGCAGCTTGGCTCGGGGTTCATGATTATTTTGAAGAGGGCGACTGGGTTACCGTTAAAGACGAAGCATTAGAAAATACCGGGTATATGAAGTGGACTACAAATCAACCCGATAACTATATTAATAATCAAAATTGCGCGACTCTCTGGCAAATTGAGGAAGGTGGGATGGACGACAACACTTGTAACCGACCGTTTCCCTTCTTCTGCGAGATTCCTCTGTAAAATTATATTGCGTTAGAGAGATCTGCTAGCGTGACAGATAATCGCGCATGTGTACATTTATAATAGTACGTGTAAATAAATGAGCAACTCTCCATTTACATCCTGTTCCTGGAATTTTGAATCGAGGGGATTGGAAATTCTTATAGAAATTCATTTTTACGGATATTGATGTCGTTAATATCGAAGTGTTTGCGCGATGTCGCAAATTTGATTTCCCCCTCGCTTCCGCAAAGCGCGCGAGGGTGGATTAAATTAATCGCGACGCGACACCGAACCGCAATTTCACTCAGTTCTCCGTTCTTCCCTACCGATATTAAGGGATCCCATTGAAAGATCGACCTGCGTCTGGAGTGCAGTGATAGCATACAGTTAGATTAGCGAGGGTGTACCTATAGTTTGAATTGCGCGAGTAAGACCGACGAAAAGTGTCGCGCTCGCGATATTGTACAGCCGTGAATACTATTCAGTTGATTCGAATAGCGAGTAATCGAGTTTGCGAATGACGGTGATTGAGTTCTCTTCCGGTTTCATTGCATGGATGAGAGATCGCTGGGAACGAAGGAGCTCCAATCGGGTGATCGTAAAATGAAGCTGCCTTTGTTGAAATTTCGCTATGAATATATGATATACATATATCTGCGAGAGATATATGAAAGACTAAAATATTAAACTTCTTCATTTATATATATATAGTTTTGTGTGTGTGTGTGTAACAGTATGTTATATCATCCGTATACCTTCATCTCGTACAGATGCTTTATTCGGAGCAAACGTTACGGAATATTATTGAATTTTCCCTGTGTTTCTTATCATTCTGTCTTATTTTCGTTTGCTGAGACAATCCGCTTATCCCCGAGATGTATTCCGTAAAGACTAGCTTCTTTCTTTTCACAAAAAAAAAACAATGTTCCATAACGTCTATCATTAATAATAATAAATAAAGCGGATTCGTACGTGATGGCGCACCAGCAAATATTCAATAAGAGAGAGGAGCGATAGGAGTGGTAAAACGAGGTTGAATGTAGTTGTAACTACCAGTTAATAGCCTCTGACAGATACATTGTGTATATTGTGTTTTTATGCGAAACGGTTCGGGAGAAGTATTTGATCATAGGATGTATAAACGAGAGGTCGCAAAAAAAAGATCGACTAGACAGAATTGATTCTGCTCGTACGTGTATCTATTATATCATATAAAAAAAAATTATGCTATAATTTGCGAGATGGCGCACCAGCAAATATTCAATAAGAGAGAGGAGCGATAGGAGTGGTAAAACGAGGTTGAATGTAGTTGTAACTACCAGTTAATAGCCTCTGACAGATACATTGTGTATATTGTGTTTTTATGCGAAACGGTTCGGGAGAAGTATTTGATCATAGGATGTATAAACGAGAGGTCGCAAAAAAAAGATCGACTAGACAGAATTGATTCTGCTCGTACGTGTATCTATTATATCATATAAAAAAAAAATTATGCTATAATTTGCGAAAAATAAATTATTTACTATTAATCACGCGCATTATAAATACGAATAATTAACGAAAAGCGCACGCCGAATTGCATCATCGATTTTGCACAAAATTAACGAGTTAATTATTAAGATACTAAGATCTCTGTCCAATAAAGTATTCGAGACACCTGGGAGAATAGCGCATAAATCTAAATGCATATTTGAATATTGGACTGTCAGGGATGTTCCCGGCGCACAATTGTGTCTCTCAATGGGGGATTCATCGGCGACCGCGAGAACCGCAAATGGAAAACGGTCGTAAAAAGCGCTTCGAGTTTAGCTGCTCTCCACGTATTGATTGGCAGCACATTGGCAAGAGCGATCCTTCCTTTATCTTGAACGTCATGTTGCTGCTCGATAGAAGTTTCTAGCAGCTGAAATAACGTTTACTCAAATTTCTTATGCGTTTTCGCACCGATTTGCGAGTATCGTGAGGATTTCACCGAAACCAAGTGGTGGATTTACGGTATCGCGTATATTATCTCTTCTTTTCCTTGTTAGTTTTCTTGTTAGAGATATGAAATTTAGTCGATCCGATTAGCTTTGAGATACATATCGTTCCACTCTCGCATTGCTTTTCTTGCACAAAATACATATGAATGTAATGGAAACTTCAATTAATGGCTGTATTATAAGGCCTAGATAGTAGTATAGATATATTTTTAACTTCTACATTTTTAATTTTTTTTTTATTTTAATTTTTTTCTAGTAATTTCTTGGAGTCTCGACTTAGATTATTACTCGAAAGCTTTTTATTTAAATAGTTTTTTTCTCTACAAACATTAAAATATATCAATTATCACAAAATACATGTGGATCCGGTCTCTTTTTTAGACGAGATGTATTACTTAAATAAATAATTTTTAAACGGATAGAAACGCGAAACATTTTTTGTGTTAAAAAATGTTAAAATGTCTATCAATTCTTTGATGAGATATAGCAAGCATAACCGGCAATTAGTACAAATGACGATAACAATGCAGGCTAGCAAATGTTTTATATATATACAATCAACATTAACCCGTACGCGATTATTATCACATAAGAAAGAAAAATTGAAAAACATCTTTGTCAGATTGAACGCACATGTGTTTTATCTTCGTAGATTTACCTGGAACAAGATTTATCAGGCCTATATCTAGGAAAGAGATAAAGAGAATGATTCATGTGAATTATAATATATATAATCGAGTATTCATATCCTAGCCGACAAATTATACGCATTTGTATATTAACTTCATATTATAAGCTGTCTGCATCAATTAATGGATTGATTACATACCAATAATAATTAACATAATAATACAAATATCAAGCTAAAGATTTCCTATTTTGCTTGATTATTTAGATTACTTGGCGATTATTAATTCTAATTTTGAATTAAAAGAGAAAAACATAAAACATGGTTCGGACTTTACGATCTTTATGAAGAAAGTAATATACACTCTTTATGTACTCTCATTATGTCTATGACATAATAGGATACACCGGATAAACGACCGAATGGCCTAACAAATCTCATAATGCTAATGATAAAAAATCGCGCGTTTCTCATGGAAAGAGAAATAAACAATCTGCAATATTATTTTTTACATTCTTTTACGAGATAGATTTGTCAAATTGTTAAAAAGAGAGAGAGAGAGATTTATCAGATAATCTCTTCATGTATATTCACACATTTATAATCGCACGTACAGTATAAATATATGAGTAAAGTTATTCTTCTTCTGGTGCGTTTTTCGAATTAGATTCAATTTGAAAAAAAAAAAAAAAAATTTTTTTTTTTGTAGGAATTCTTTTTTGTAAGTATATCTATGTCGTTAATACGATATGATAATATCGGAAGCATGTTTTTCCTCCCGTTTCCACAAAAGCGTCGAAGCTTAAACCGCTTTGCGGGAATCCGCTTGTGCAAAACGCAGCGTGAATGTAGAGATAGGATCGACCGAAATTCAAGTAAAGACCGCATATCACGGCTGATATCCCGGGATGATTCGATGAGATTCGATGAAATCGATTCGGCTAATACGCGAAGTGAACGATGCATTATCGATATTGCTCACGATCAATCAACTGCAATCCATCTTTGGGCGAGATACTCGTCTATCTGTTACTTACGTACGATTAAAAATCGCATAAAAATTTCCGACACGAATTGAAAATTATTTAAAATTAGCTTGCATTTATACATCTCGCGGTGGAATTACATCCGTCCTGGAAACCCAGTTTTGCATTCGGCTCGAGAGTGTCGGTTGGTCGGAGAATCAGGAACCCACTTCCAATTTCTCTCCCGCGTTTTGATGGACCGGATTTCCCAGAAAATGCTTGCGACGCAGTAGTAGCGGCTCTGTCTACGACAGGCACTTCTTGTTTGACTCCCTATTTTCGCGATTCGGGTCGTCGTCGTCGTCGGCATATTATACCAGCTTCGCTTTTGTTGCAACAGCAGCAGCGGGAGGTCGGAATCGGCGTCTACTCGGCGCGAGAAGAACTCGAAATGCATAATGCGGTGCTGCTGTATAGCAGCTACGAGGATTTTCAGCGAATTTGCAGAGGCAAAATCGATATTCCTCGAGCGCCTGTACCGAATTCGCGATATATACAGAGGATCTCTTAACGAACTGAAATCTCCCGGATTCTAAACTACACCATCTCTCCGCTTTTATATTCGCGGATAATAATCGTTCCCACGACGCGAGAAATATTCGTTTCGCGCGTGAAGCGAGCTGGACCGAGTGATTTAAGATACACACGGGAATCCGCTCCGAAAAACGTCTCGCCTCGAAAGTGGTCGCCGCGTATATCCCTACGTACATCATTCGTGATCGGAAAACTCGAGGAGATCACATCGAGTTCTCAAGTACACGGCGACGGAAGCCGATGAAGCGGGCTCGAAATTCGATTTAGCGTGAGTCACGATATCACGCTTGCTATCGGGCGCGGTCTCCGCCTCTCGCTTTTCTCTTTTATTCTCTTTTTTTTTTCTCCTCCAACACTTTTCTAACGTTTTATCTCGTATCTTTATCTACATTAAAGTCGGCAAGTTTATTTATCCGCGTCGCCCTAAAATGCGCGCTTTATTTGTCGCGTACACGTTCCCTCGCCTGCCGCTGCTTCAAGTTTCCTGTGGTAATCTTAGCGCACACTTAATTGGACATCGCTGGGGATGAGTGGTACAGATAGGTGCTTGTCGCAAAGTGCTGAGTTTGCCGGTAAGCTGGTCTACAATGTCACAAGCCATTTTCCCGGGTCCTATAACTTCTACACGATGCACCTCTCTCGGTGCCTAAGCGGGATCGACGAGAGAACCGATATCGATATTCGTCAATCTATTCCTTCGCGTGAATATTATTGTCGTTGCGATGAGAATCTTCTCTTGGATTCTCTTCTCTCAATTGAAAGGTGGTACAAGGTGACCGGATTTTATTAATTGAAAAGCAATTCTTTTTGTTAGAATATTTTTTTTTTTTAATGTCAATTATGCTCGTAATATAAAATTTTTTATTATTGGAATTTTTTCCTATGTATATATAATTAATCAATTTCCGTACGCGCGCGATTACACATATTAATTTCCGGACTGGTGAGAGAAAGGAACAACATTCCACGTAACGTTCGCATCGCGCGTCACAATGCGTGTCGAAGAGCCGTCTTAGTCTACGATCGGCGTGCTTTAATCGGCGGCGAGGGAAGACTTCCGTGAAGGTGAAACTCCGAAGAAGGGGACGAAGCGAGACGACGACGACGACGACGACGATTCCGACTCCCTTTCGCGTTGGTGCTGCTGCTGCTCGTGCGAGCGACCAGTCGCGCGTTTAAGACCGTCTCGTGCCGAGAATTCAGTCCGCGTCGAGCCAGCTGCTTGAACAGTTGCTCGTCGAAGTCGTCCTTGCTCGTGCGCAGCCAAAAGTGCGTCGAAAGTGCGTCTCGTGTCGTGTGGCCAGATGCTGATCGCCATTGGATTAATTAACGGGGAACTATGCTGGTGATCAGCGCGTTGAAGCAGGTCGCGAACGCCGCTACCAATGCGGTCCACTCGGCCACCGGTAACGTTACCGGACACGCTCATGGCAATTCCGGTGAGTCGATTCGATTTCTTTTCCATTTTTGGAATTTAAACGCATCGACGATCTTTCCTCGACCTACCTTATTCACCGCGTATACGCTACAGTCGATATTAATTTCGACTCTCCTCTCTTTAGTCGACGAGGCGAGGCTAATGGCCTCAAAGTACGCGATATTTCTCAACGATAATTTCTATGATAAGCTAAAATTATCCGAATATCTTTAGTAACGAGCGACTGGATTCGTTTTAATGCAACGAGATATTAAAATTACAAGCCGTGTTATAAATGGTACGTGTCCTCGGAACATTCAACAGATATATTTAAGGAGATGTAACGATAAATCCACAGCAACAAATATTATCGCTTTAAAACAATTAAAGCTTGCGTTCTTCATTTGTAATGTAAAATAACCACACTATATATAGGTGAAACAATTTAACGCGTTCTCTCTCTCTCTTTTTTTCTCTTGCTCCTAAATCTTGCTTTTTTCTCTCACCATGGTTACTTATTTTTTTTATTTTTATTTTTTTTTATTCAGTTAGCGATCTGGGAAAGCATCCGCGCGTTGCATACACATTTGTATTCGCGAAGAAATATCGCTTGCGCAAAATGTAAAAGGTTACACGGAGGCGCGCGCGCGAAACCGACCTCTATAGGTTTCATAAGAACGGTACTACGGTAACTTTCCTGCCACGCCTAATGTCAAGATCGTAACGTCAATCGCATGTGGATCATTTCGCATCATCGGAAGAATATACTCTTGTATTTATTAAATAAAAAAAAGTCCGCACCCACAAATTACAAGCTTTCCAGGGATCGTTAGCTTGACAGGCGGAATTACGCCTGAAAAATTATCACGTGACAACTTACGAAACAAGCCATTTATAAGGAGAAGGTTCTCTCTTATTTTCTCTAAAATGCCGAGTGATTATTTATAATAATATTAGCTGTTAAGGAAAAAGATATTTGATAATTAATCCGAGTGTGAAATCGAGTCGAGGACTCGCTTTTTATCGCGTCTAGTTAATTTTCGTTATTTTTCCATTATCAAAAGTCGATTAAGAGCGTAGTTAGACATATGCCAATTACTATCGCGCATATTTGCTGCGGGAGGCGTAATGTGGCTATTATAGGTGACATTCACCGGTCGCATAGACGTCGATGCGTTGAATGCTGATGGTAACGCAGTCACTATGCATAATGTGTACTGGTACATTAATGTTTCTCTTCAAACGAAGAGAATACACAAGACAAGAATACACAGACAAATCGCAATGATTTTTAGAGAAGAACATATAATCAAAAAATTATGAGGCAAAAATCAACGACGTGTATCTTTTGTATGATTATACGTTTGTTTGTTTTTTTCTTTTTTATTTGATGTGCCGATTGGAAATAAAAAAAAAGTAATTAATCGCAATTACATTTACTAGCGTACGTGCTTGTTTGTGCGACAATGCACTGCAGTCTATTATCGCCTTCCTTTATAGAGATTATAAACGTCAACCAAGGTTGATGGAGAAAAGAAATGGGATATAAAAGCGTGACTAGTGCCGTGTCAAGTAACGTCGATTCCACGTGCGTTTTTCACCTTTCGGCTTAAATTTATCGGGCTTCTTTGTCATTAGCGTCGTATTGACAATCTCGGTTCAGTTTGTCACTAACCGCCGACCGACCGACCGACCGCGGATCGAGAAACCGAGTGAGTGGGATGTACATCGTTCGATGACCTCGCGAGCGAGAGGCGAATCGCTCTTCTGGATGTTTTCACCAATACCTTAGAAAGTTTCTCGACATCGCTCGCCGTAAAAGACGTGCGTAGCCTTGAAAATCGCTCGCGCGCCGCGATACATATTTGTCTCATCTGTCAAACTCGATCAAACGGAGTATTCACCTCGGATATTTCGCTCGCAATTCGTCATCGACATGCCCGAAAAACCGCACGCGAGAAATTCCTCCGAAATTGACGCGGATTTCGCCGAACCTCCGGATTCTTTGAATTTACGAGCAAAACCTTGAGATTGGCACGTATATTTTATATGAGTTTTTTCGTCTTCTCTCTTCTCTCTTGGGGAAAATAAATATCGTTCTGGAAAAGGATATATTTACATTTATAAATATTTTAATAGCGTACACACACGTGTGATATGTGTGTAATGAGAACATTTGTCGCATGTATTTTAAAAAATATTATTTTGGGACAGCGATAAAAAAAAATATTCGGATTATTTGTCCCAGGGCGCTCGACGTTCTTATACAACTCGCACGATATTTTTCTACCGTTTCACTCCACTTTCCGCGATCGCCTCACTGTTCCGGGTGCTCACTGGACTATTACGTACTTTCTACTGCTCGTTACAGATAATCAGTGGCGAACAACAACCTGCCATCCGCAATACAAGCGGTTCGTTAAAGTGGATTTGCAATTATAAGGGCCGCGGTTAATGCGAGATACTTAATCACGCGAATTTTAATTAAAGCGCCAATTCAGGCGATCCGAAAAAAAAAAAAATTTTTTTTGAATCTAGCATATATAAAGACACTCTCTTTATTTCTCTCTATTTCTTTATTGCTCTCTTAGAAGAGAAATGCAAGTGATACGCAGAATTCACCTCTGTCATTGTATTCCATGAATTTAAAGTCTCCGCCTATCGTCAACTTTGACATCTGATCCCTTCTGAGAATGCAACCGTGGTTATTTCTCGCCTCGGTAGCAGCGATATCAATGTCAAAAGTCGCTTTCCGCTATCTAATCGCGTTCCCGTGACGGGATACAAAACCGTAGAGCTCGGCGGTTTGGTTTGCATTCGTATTGAACTAGATCTGCTCGATCATGTCGCGATTTCTTCTGCTTTTCTCCCAAATCATCTTGATACTCTCGGCGAGAGTCTCGTCGGAGAAGAAGGAACCAACTTGCCGGCTCATGGACGCTTACAACGTTTGTTATTACAAAGGAGTACTCGTCGAGGTTACGCAGCGTTATTTCGAGGATCGATTGGATCTGAACGACTTGGATCTTCTGGCGATTCGCGAGGATGCTTTCAAAAATGTGACAGCGACGCACTTGTATCTGAATCAGAACAACCGAATATCCGTGCTAAAGAGAGGATCCTTCCGTGGTCTGCCAAAGTTGGAGCGTCTCCATTTAGACGATAACGTGGTGTCGTTGTCGGAGCATTTGTTCGCGGAATTGGGACACTTGCAGTCGCTATCGTTGGTCTTCAACAGGATCAATTCGATACCGAGGGACTCGTTTGCCGGTCTGTCGAGCTTAATGTGGTTGTACCTGGGTCACAACGACATCCCGGCGATCGAGGAGGAATCCTTCTCCAATCTGAATCCCGGACTGCTGTACCTGTGGCTCAACGACAATAAAATTGCCCGTGTAGCCCCAGGTTCCTTCGCCGGGTTAATCGAACTGAATCGTCTCCATTTGGATCACAATCAGCTGGAAAGCTTGCCGAGCGGTGCCTTTCGAGGATTGAACAAGTTGGAGGATCTCTACTTAAATAACAATCGGATAACAAGCGTCTCCGAAGCGCTTCTTCGTGACCTAGTCGGTCTGAAGAGACTTTATCTTCAACGGAACGAGATCAGCACCCTCGAGCCGGGAACGTTTCATGGGCTGTTACAGCTGGAGCAACTGCGATTGGATGGAAACAAACTGTCTCGCATTGCAGTCGGTACTTTTACAGGTCTCCTTAAGTTGGAAGATCTCAATCTGTCCGATAATAACATCCATACGATGGATAATGGCGCTTTCACTGATGTCGTCGAATTGCGGAACCTTTACTTCAGCGGCAACAACGTCACCGAAATCGATAAGAAGATCAGCGGACTCCCATCTGAGGTTACTGTCATATAGACGCTTTAGGGATTTGTTTGTATTCCGACATATAGAATCCCTCTGCAGCATTGAGAAAGAAAATAGTCCTTGTTTCGTTTTCGTGATCGCAATCTCGTGTCATGTACTCGGGATATTAAGACGCAATTTTTATATTCATGTTATATCGAAAAAATAAATCAAAGTTAATAAAATCCAGTTCAATTGTAAAATAGATCGAGTAAGCGAGAGCGCCGATTTTTTTGCAGTAGCTTTTTGAAGCATGTCTTATTGGAAACGTATAAGAGGAAATAAGAAAGAATATTGTATGTTGTGTATTGTACCGAGACACATCTCCTCACCTAATAATATATATTGCGTCATATATTTGAATCAATGCTAAGATTCAATATCGCGATGTCGCTATTTCAGATGCGAGATTTACCTTATACGTCTCTCCTTTTCTTAAGATTCTTTTCTACTTATTGAATTTCCGCCGAGAGTCGGAATATTTTCGGAGATGCAAGAAGAGACTCCGTCGCCTCCGGCGGATTTTGTTACGCTCTTTTCACGTCGCGGGCCTTGTGTCCCGGCGAGACTTTCATTACCGAGATTTCCTTCTTGAGATTCTCCTGACGTCCCTCGGAAAAGCATCTCTATGAATCACGGCGCGCGACATATGTACGTTTATCTTATATGAAAAACTGTAGACGGAAAACTACTTCGTTGAAATTTTGGTTTATGAAAGATTATTGTACGAAAATTGAAAATGCTTTAAACGGAAAATCACTTATTCAATCAATCTTATAATTTCTATTTTCTCCGAGAATATAATTTGAAGAAGAAAATTTCTGTATAGAAAATTAAAGTATAATATACCAGCTCGCACTATATCGAGTTTTTCTCGCGGTAAGTTTCTCTCACTTTTTTTTTTTTTTAATTTCACGTCTGGTCATATAGCTTTTTGTTTGTCGGGAAATTTTTCCCAAAGGGCAGAAAACCACTCGAGCATGGCGAAGATACTCCGCGGATATTTCCCGCAAAAAAACTTTCAGGCGAAAATCTCTTTACCGCGCTGCCAGGATTGCCTCTAGTAATGAAACTTAACGGAAAGGAGGATATGAAGGAGAACAAAGATATTAGAAAAACGGACATTATAAAGAAAGAAAATATATAGAATAAAATACGAGATGTTGCGCGATGAGAGAGGAAGATTTGCTGCTGTTTAAATGACAATGTAAAACCACGAGAGCCGCGCTTAGAGTGATCGTGCGTTGATAGAATATCGGATCGTTTACGAACTTCGTGAATTGAAAATCGAAAATATGAATTTCCGCCTTTTTCACGCACTACGTTTCTAGACTTTGGTGCGTACATACGCGTGCGTGCGGTTGTTGTATGGATATAGTGGAAGTAGACGCGCACGCAGAATACGATACACGCGACGAGCGTGCACGTGCAAACGGTGTTGAAGAGATGCTGGGGAGAGGGGATGTAGGAGGTTTGAGGTCGCATTGATTTTGTCTAGACAGGGTGGAGACTGCTCTCTCTCTCTCGTGGTGTCGTCCTTTGCATCCACGGTTTGGTATGCTTGGTCGTCCCGGCGTGGTATACTTGTCAGTCGGAATGTTCCGTTCAGTTCTTGCCGATCGCATTGCAGCGCGAAGAGGAAATGTCGCTCTATCGAGTTCTCCGTTCGGTGAAATTAAAGGACGATCGCGCTTAACAAAATAAAAGAAAGTAATTATTAAATCGCCACGCGTGTCGCGCGTGTGTGTGCTCTTATTAGATGAAATCATTAGAAATTTTCTGCCTCAATGTACTTTAATAAATCCGATTGTCGGCAAATATGACGGGCTATTATCAAATTATTCGCAAAATAATTTGACGTCAAAAAATACTTAACTATTCTCCGTTTGCTCTCTTTTTTTATAGGAACTCCCTCGACTCCGATAATGCCAGGCGGTACACCCGGTACACCATCCTCTAAAACGAAGGCAGGTTCACGTTTCGTTGAAATAAATATTAAAATTCTTGATATTTTGTCTAGAGTTTTTAAAAAATTTATCAGTTTCTTTGTCTTACAGGAAAAGATAATGTTGCGAGCGAAAGTCGTAGTGGCTCTGTACCCTTTCCGAGCCATCGAAGGCGGTGATTTGTCTCTCGAAAAGGTAAAAATAAAAAAAAAATACAATAATAAATATATTAAAAATGAATTCTCATATATTTTATATATACATATATAACCATTATATTATTAAATAGAATATTTACTAACGATCTATGTTTTTCTACAAACAACGCAGGGTGCAGAGTACGAAGTCTTGGACGATTCCCAGGAGCACTGGTGGAAAGTTAAAGACGAGAATGGGTATATGATTTTTTGTTCGAAGCAACTACACAAACATTGTTTTACGAACTATTTTGTCAATATTCTTTTTCACGATCGACGACCTAACTTACAACAAAATTTATTCACATTTTTATCTCACACGTACACTTCACGTGGTGGCAGCAATCAATCGGCTATCGCGAAAAATAATCAGTTACAGCATACATACAGTTCTCGTAAATAGTAATCTTAGCGGTGTTCTCTTGTATAATCAGCGATAATTATTCATGATAGCCGGATTGTGTGTGTTGTGTTTACTTACACGGTAAAGTACGCGCGTAAAATGCGACGTTAGCGAGGAACGGTTTGCACAAAGTCATTTAATTGCAGATCGATCGGCTATATCCCTAGCAACTACGTCAAAGAGAAAGAACTACTGGGACTGCAGAAATACGAGTGAGTTAATACATATATTTTTCTGCGAATCGCAGAATTCCATAGTCTGTCGAGTTCGATAAGGCTCTATTGCTACCCCCATTTTTCCCCAAGTTATCGAGCGACCAAGTTTCCTACCAAAACGCTTCTCGATAGAAGTTTCACATAAATCGCAAGATGTTCGTACATGATAAAAGTAAAAAAAATTGACCGTTTTGCTTGCGCTGTCATAGATGGTATGTAGGTGATATGTCAAGACAACGCGCAGAATCGCTGCTGAAACAGGAAGATAAGGAGGGTTGTTTCGTCGTTCGTAATTCCTCGACCAAAGGGCTGTACACCCTCTCCCTTTACACGAAAGTGTAAGTCAACACTTAAATAATTATCAATTGATTAAAAATTGGATTTTTCAAATGAATTTTATTAATTGCTGAATTATTTTCAATTTGAAATCGTTTCGCTCTTTTTATCTTTTTCTCTTAGGCTTTTTCTTATAATCTAAGACTTTCCGTTTTGTCGCAGGCCACATCCTCACGTGAAGCATTATCACATCAAACAGAATACTCGTGGTGAATTTTACCTATCGGAAAAACATTGCTGCGGCTCCATACCCGACCTGGTGAATTATCATAGACACAATAGCGGCGGTCTGGCCAGTCGGCTGAAGACCAGCCCTTGTGATCGTCCTGTACCACCGACCGCCGGCCTTAGTCACGGTTCGTAAAATTATATTTTTTAATCTTTTCTCTCAAACGGTATAAAGTGAAACAGAGATGTGTAAAAAATAAGACCTCTCTCGGCTGTTCGGTGCCACTTAACGGCGGCTTTTTCGCAGACAAATGGGAGATCGACCCGGCGGAATTGCATTTGCTGGAGGAACTCGGATCCGGCCAATTTGGAGTCGTGCGGAGAGGTAAGTGGCGCGGCTCCATCGACGTTGCCGTGAAGATGATGAAAGAGGGAACCATGTCCGAGGACGACTTTATAGAAGAAGCTAAAGTAATGACGTAAGTTAAACCCATTTCTCTTTACGTTACGTCGAAACTTTTAATGAACATACTTGAAATTGAATCTCTATAAATATATTTTATTACAACTTTATTTCCTATAAATTTGATACTAAATATTACATTAATATTATAATAGATTTCATATTTATTTCTTGTATGTAGAAAACTGCAACATCAAAACCTAGTCCAGCTGTATGGCGTTTGCAGTAAAGATAGACCAATATATATTGTCACGGAATACATGCGACATGGATCTCTCCTCAACTACCTCCGCCGTCACGAAACCTCTTTAGGTGCAAATGTTGGCCTCTTATTAGACATGTGTATACAGGTAACGCAAATTTTCCGCTTAGTAGATGATAGAACATGCTCACAATTCAGAGATAACACAATAATCGAGATTTTTTTGTTGCCTCTGTTACAGGTTTGCAAAGGAATGGCATATTTAGAGAGGCATAATTACATACACAGAGATCTTGCTGCACGTAATTGTTTAGTGGGATCAGAAAACGTAGTAAAAGTTGCAGATTTTGGTTTAGCTAGGTAAGAATTATTTTATTATCGCATTAAAAAAAAGTCATAATTTAACAAGATATATAAATGAATTGTGAAATTTAGCTAATATATATAATCAAACAATTACTTCTAGGTATGTACTCGATGATCAGTATACCAGTAGCGGTGGCACCAAATTTCCCATTAAATGGGCACCGCCGGAAGTGTTGAATTACACGCGCTTCAGTTCGAAATCTGACGTGTGGGCATACGGAGTACTAATGTGGGAAGTATTCACGTGCGGAAAGATGCCTTACGGTCGCCTAAAGAATACGGAGGTCGTCGAGCGAGTACAGCGTGGAATTATTTTGGAACGACCTAAAGCATGTTTTAAGGAAGTATACGAGGTAAGTTATCATTATTTCCCCGCGTTTCTGAACCAATTTATCCATGAACCAACCTGAATTTACGGATTCGATGAATATCAGGTGATGCGCAAATGTTGGGCACACTGCCCGGAAGTGCGACCATCCTTCCGCGTCTTGAAGGAGCAGCTGATGAGTGTTTCCCAAGGGCTGGTCAACGATTGACTCAACCTTCTGCGGTGTATGCGCCTGTCTTCGCCCTCCTGCCGCACAATCCGACCGACGGCGAAGTCGTCACCGTCGTCGGAACGATCGTCCTCTGCCGGTCTACCGTCGTCGAATTTGTCGTATAATTCAGCAACGTTGCCGTCGTCACGCAAGATCCGCGCGCCGGCCTCTCCCCCGTCGCTTTCCACGATCGATTTCACTCGTCGTTTCTCGTCGATCACGTGCAAATCAAAAGGAGAGGGCTCTTCGTCGCCAAATACACCCGGGCATCAAGCTAGTCAACAAAAACCATCCTCGAGCTCGACTAACAACGTGTGCGACGTTTGCAGTTCCTACGGGCATCCGTGGATCGAAATATGCAAGGCGATACGAGCCACTAAAGGTAAATGAATGAACGTGTATGTACGCGCGTGTGTATAATTGAGTTTACACTATTCTATATCGCGCTATTAGAGAACCGCCGTAATACGGAGATGTGATTCTAAACCTCTTCTCCCTTTTCCCCCTCCTTTCCGCCCGTAAACGTAACGCTCATCTCCTTCGTCTACCTTCCCCTCTTGTTCCCTCTCCATGCATCTTCGAACATTTCGATGTTCCGGATGTTACGACTTTATCCGACATTAGGATGCGTGATATTGTTGTGTGTGTTTCACATACTATTTTTCCCATATAATTTTTAGACTTTACTCTGTATCGTCATAAATACATTTATAAATAGAACAATAGTATTTATTGATGGCCTTTTGCAACAAATGCAATATATACAACTTGTGATTCCGCCTAAAATATGTCATTTTTTTATTATTATCATTTTGACAAACAGTGACATAACTTTGAGAATCAGAGATACTGTTTTTTGCTTATAATAAACCGATTTAATAAATTAAGCTTGTCTACGTTTACGTCACATATCACACTTGAAAGCAAAAAGAAAGAGGGACAGAGAGTGAAAACCACAAGAAACAAAGCATTTTATTCTAACGAATTGATTATGTGCAATTCTTATGTGGAGTTAATGGAGAGTTATATATAAATGGTAAGTAACATAATTTGCAATACTATATTGAAAAATGAATTAACTCTCTCTTAGGACTTTTGTTCTACATTTCTAAACTTCGTACACAAACTATAATTAAATAACATATATACAATAAAATTAATTAGTTTAAAATACGTTGTACACACACATATCGATAAGTTGTAAAAAATTAGCCTGGTTCTAAAAATCTATAATTCAAGGTTTCTCGGACAAGCGGTAGGAATAAAAATTCTTACAAAAGTGCAGATCGCATAGGTCACGTTTATTAAAACTGCTTTGAATTCATCTATAAATTTTCTTCGATGTGAATTCAAAGAGAAGCTCAAAGAGAGCTCTTCCGTATATGCGTTGACCCAACGTGGAAAGCGAATTTATCGTGCAAATATTGATCTTCCAAGGAAAAGCAACACTGGTATCGTAAATGTAACAAAAAAAAGTAATAATAATAATAATAATAATAATAATAATAAGTACTTCTATAATACATATATAATACTTCTATATAATTAAACTACATTCTGTTTTTAGACAATATATAAACTATAAGTGTAACAGATGTTATTCGCACTTATATACGCGGTTGTAGCAAAAAGGAAATGCAGAAATAGTGTCAAGTCTCTTTTATGCGGGATTTTCCGTTTGTCTTATTTCTGATTCCTAGAAGAAAAATAGAAAGAATCATACAGTCGCAATCACTTTGTTGTGTTAAAAAAAGATTATCTATGACATTATATTGAACATATTTGAGAGAATTGTGAACATCAATGATTTTCTTAACTATTAACGATAATTTCTTGGAATACATTAGATACATTAGATCTATAAGCTGTACTAAAAATCCGCAAAAGTTAATTACATACGTACGGAACGTACGGGATACAGAAATGTGGATACACTCTTTTCCGTATATCCCGATTGCACCTTGCAGGTGTATTCACCCATGTCGGCCCATTCGAGATCCGTTACCTGCAGATCGCCACTAGCGAGAACGGTATGTCTCACGTGTGTGGCGGGACTTATGGTGTTGCCCAAATTATCTATCCAAAATAGATAAGGCGCCGGTTGACCAGTGGCTCTGCACGGAAGAATCACCGTGTTGTGTTGAAGAGCGAATCTCCAGGAAGAGTGCAAGGTGATGGTGGGTTGGCTTTCGCTACTGCATACGGTTGTTCTGGTTGCTGATGGACAGTAAGATGATATTAGAATTATCGTTTTATTGATGATATCAATGTATCTATTTATATAGACGAAGAGTGCGAAATATCCCGCCCGTTTTTACTCACTATTAACCAAGAGTACCGTCGCTGCCGATTGGGCCACTATATTTTTAGACACGGATACACAATACTTTAAACCTTGATCTTCAGGTCTGACGCAATCGATCACATACGTGGAGGAGACTTGACTGACCCCCTCCCATTCCGTGGATACGACATTGGTCGCTTCTTGGGCCCGCGTGGTCAATTCCTGAATCTACCAGATCACAATCACATCGAACAAGTGTAAGGGGAGTGCTGTTGTGTAATGATTTATCACAAATCTTCGAGGATTTCTCAAGCGAAAAACATAAATATTAATAGCGAGAGACCGACCTGCCTTTCTGGTTCATTTCCAGTTATCCAGTAGACTTGGGGCGGCGGATTTCCAGCTACCTCGCATTGCAATTCGACACGACTCCTGAAATAAATATGAATTTAATGCATGTGATACGTGCGATTATGTTATCTTTATATTCATAGTCGTTACTTTATATTAAATATATATATTCACCCAACGGCGGCTTCCAAAGAATCTGGCGGATTCTGTAAAATCCTGGTCCAAGTTGACGTAAAACCATTCTAGAACGAAGACGACTATTGTAGAGAGGAGCACACACGTAACAGAGAGAGTATCCGACTGAATCTCATGCATTTCAAATAGCTGAGAAATTGTGTAGCAAATTAGCAAAATAGTAAACGAAAAGAAATTTTATAAACGCATCAAAACTTTAGCTCAGATGTTCATCGATGATATATACCTTTTTCTCGCCGGCCGGCTTAATATCATTTTTCAGTCTATTCGCCGCACTAGATTGGTCAACATTTGGCCGTGTATACGATGTATTCGTCAGCAGTAAGAATGTCAAAGGGCTACCAAGGGTTACACCGAACACGGCGACGATCACCAAAAGATGCACAAAATTCGAGGGATACAACCGCATCTGGAGAAAGAGCGCAGTGATACAAAGATTTCAATACATCAATTTGCCTTCGAGAGGAGAAAGTACGACGAGATGTTATTCCAAAAATGTTTCCCTCGAGATAGTAGACGGAAGACAAGCGATTATATTTACGTGATTTTACGTATAATAAATATCGAATTAATACCGTGATAGCAACATGCGGGCCAAATTAATGAATGAATTAGTGAAATTTTACCAAGTTGGTAGATGATGAAATGTAAAAAAAACTTTCCTAAACGAACAATTGTACATGCAATACATCTATTATATTCGTGACGTTTGTATTTTCATGCATGTGACTATATGTGTAGTGTACCTATCTCGCTAAACGCACTTTTCTTTTTTTAAACTGTAGGTCTTTTTTTCTTTGGCCAAAATTTTGAATCAATTCCCCCTTCCTCAGTAAAAATGTCGAGGAAGATCATCATTTATTGTGTAACTTTGTATCACTAAATTTTAAATTAAAATTCTTTCAAAATGAAGAATATTATTTTATCATCTATTCGTTTCGCGCTTGTAACTTAGTTTTCGAATGGGTTTTAATTTTCCAATCTTTCGTAATTTCAAGTATATCGACGCGTTTTAATACAGAAAAAATTGACTGAAAAGTGCGCTAAGCGACAGGGAACACTCTATGTATATGATGCAAACACGTAGCGATTAATTTACATTGATTAGGGAGCCGTTTTAATATCTTGTGTGCCACCCACAGCGGTTAAAAAAAAATACGTGAGCGAGAGCACGTCAGATGCGGTGGATGCGCTATTTTGCTTTGTTGCATCAGCCGTTTTGGCTCGGATTGGTTTGCCTTAACCGCCTCTTGAGATGGAGAGGGAAAACGTACCGGGACAAAAGACACGTGCGCGAAAGGCACGCTTCTCGATGTAGATGCTTCAATTTTTTGTCCAGTCTCTCACGGTTTAACGCGCAGTTTTATTCGCGAAATTCGTAAGTTTCACCAGGATATACACCATTCGAAACAATCAGAGAAATGTGATCTTTTCAAGAATTTGTTAACTAGACTTAAAAATGCTGATAATTGACTGTCAAAAAAGAAACTAAATTTTTTATTTATATAAGTATATTTATTGGACACGAAGATTATTCACTAAGAGAGATATTAAATCTAATCATATTAGAGAAAAAGTCTTTCATTAATTGTTTTGAGCGATGTACTAAAAATATATACAGTTACATTCTGTATAATAAATTTACATATATATTTATAAAAAAAAAATAATTTTTGTTGGATATATTTGCAGTGGATCCCTTCTTCTCTTTCTTTCTCTGGTTTTAAGTGGAATGTCGAAGTTGTGTGTGACTTACCGTGCGTGTAACGCTGCGATTTTCCGGGTAACTCTGTTCGTTCCGAGGGAGATATGAAAAAAAGGAAAAAAGGAGACAAGCGCCCGCAGTTTATCACCGGCGAATCGAGGAGGCCGACTGAACGACGGTATAACAGTTATTGGTCCATTTATATATTTCGAATGTAACAGCGGGCGCCCTTCCCTTTTCCCGATTGGCCGTTATTACCGGGAGTAGGGCGATAATACCACCGGCAAACAATCGAATTCATTATCTGCACGGGTCGTTTGTACCCGCGTAATAGATATCTCCCCAATTTGTTTCCACCCTCATCTACGGTCCATCGATTTTTATATCTCAAAAGAATGATACGATAATTACTTTTATTGAATGCGATCGTGTATCAGGAAGAGAGAAGATGATTCCAATTATCCGTCAGATCTCAATATCGTGTATAGAAATATTTTTATACATATCTTCTATATTTCATAGCTCTTTTCTCTCTTTCTCTTTATTGTTCGTTTTTTTTTCTTTAAGAGCACAATCAACAAAGTTTCAATAAGCTTATTTGATCTACGCGAGCTAACTTTAAATATATTTAAGAAAAAATAATTTTCATCTCTGGGATAAAAATATAACATCATCTCGATTAAAGAAGATTCTCACTAAATTAACGCGAAATATCGAAAATTTCGATTGAACGTAATATATTAACATAAGTGCCATGTATTTTTTACTTTTATTACGATTTAATCAATCAAATGTATCTTCCATTATATTAATCGCGATAATATTTTGTCGTTTTCGTTGAATTCATCTTATCTGCGAATCCGATCCCAAAATATGCGGTCAATCATGAAGAGGAAGTTCCAAGAAAAAGTATATGTCCGCATTAAAACAGCTGTGCCATCAAATTCGAATTTCGTCAGCGGTCTGGAGGTTGTCACCTCAAAATTACGCTGAATCTCTCGTAAAAATGCCCAAAAGATGTTAGATCATACTCGACGAGGATTAAGATTGGATTGCTTACTCATAATAAATACATAATAGTATTTAGAGTATTTTAAAATCCCTCACTTGTAGGTCCCTCATGTGTGCGCCGTGTTCTTTTTCAAAATAATTATTTCTCTTTCTCAGTATGCAAACTACCCTCTTTGTATAACAGAAATTGTACGAAATATTCACATAAATCTTCCGCTACACGCATTTTGAAACGAAATATCTTTTCGCCTGAAGAGCCCCATGTTTAGAAGCTAACGATGTAGAACAATAAATGTGCGTTCGTTAGAATCCATTAAATGAAGAACGAGCAAATAACTTACTATGTGTGTATATATATATATGTGTGCGTCCACTAATATTTTCTCAAATATTAATACCTCTCATATAGGGGTTACTATCCCTTGTGAAGATATAAATTTTATAGATAAGAATTGGACATAATTAACACATTGACAATATTGTATATATATTTTGAAAATTTAAATAATTAAGCGTAATTAAATAGTAACAACTTTGATCAAAAAATTTGTCAGTAATAATACCACAAATGTTTTTTTATGTGACAAGACTATTCAAAATTACCGAGTACAGATATTTATCGAGGAATCGCATTAAGTAGTGTATTGCGTGAATAAAATCTCAAAATCTATCTGAAAATTATCTCGAGACCGTAAAATCTTTTACACACAAGATCTCTTTTATATTTTCTTTATATTATCATAGATCGAAAAGTCTCATATTAATTCGAATTAACGTAATAACTGAAAAAAGAAAAAAATTCTCTTTGACGAATATATTTTAATTATTGAAAATATTAAATAAAACAATTATGCATCGTCTAATTTTACAATTAACGTGTCAATATTCTTAAAGAAAAACATCATTATTTTAATTCATCAACATCATGACGATGTTAAAACGGATATTAAATTTTGTTATGTGTTAGAATTTTAAATATCACAATATATTATACATTTATTGTCTTATTTTCTTTCAATACTGACAATTATAGCGTATTTTTTTCCTATTATTAAGATATAGCGTACAAACACAAACCAAATAATGGTTAACATATATTAATGTGTTAAAAATTATTTTAAAAATATATGACCGCACTCAATAATATAAAAAAATCAACGTTGATTATTATAATACTTTAGCAGTAAAACTTTTAAAAACTTAAAATTTTATATTATATCTTCATTTTGATTGGAGGAAAGTGAATAAAATGAGAAATACTGAAAAGTTAAGGATACGCTGAAATTATATATTTATTTTAATATTGTCAATATATTTATATCGAAATTATTCATTTTTCAGATCACCAGATTACATTGCATTATCTTTTACTATGAAAAAGTATGTAATGACTACTTCACTGGACGATAATGACATCACTGCTTTCTAATAGCACTTCGAGATGGTCAAATCAGAATCATAATGTTGGCATTTGTTAGCACTTTTAGTTTAAAAACGCGCGAACACATCCATTGTATATCATAAAACTAGAAAGGTCACACGATATTTTTTACAGTACGATTTATTTACATTTTTTTTTAAGCGCATTTTTTTTATTGAAGGGCAACTATTTCTGTTATTAAGCGCGCTCAAGAATATGGGATGCAGCTACGAAAATAAAGTATAAGTCAAAGCAGCAAGAAAAAGTAATAGTAATAAAAATAAAGCAAGCAATAAAATGATTTGATTATCACGTCTAGCTCTCAATCAATCTGTTTCCTTTAGTTGTAGATATTCAATATCAGACCCTTCAACTTCATATTTAAAAAGTAAATTTCAAAAAGTTGTTGAATTAACGCAAGATTATATTTATAATAATGCTATACTTTTTTAGAAAGATTGTGCATAATTACAGAAATTTTTATAAATATATTTTAACTATATAAAATGTGTGTACACAATAAGTGATATGAAATAAAATACAGAATATTATATGTAAAATATATCTATATCAATATGATAAATGTATAAAGTTAAAATTTAAATTGTGGTATATCTTTATGATATTATGCAAAATCGAGTACAATGAGCGGTTTATAATTAACGAATTCTGGAAATACAGGACGCAACGATTGTCTTAACTTCAATGTTATTGAAGAACCTCAAGTAACTCGCACATACAAATCTTATCAAAACAGAGAAAGTGTCTATAGACATTGCCTTATTTTCAATTGAGGTAGTATCTTTGATTAACAACAAATTTATGCTAATTGCAATCACTTCGCATTGAAAACATGAATAAAATATTATGTTGGACAACTATAAAATATAATAATGCTGAGATCCTGTAACAACTTATGGTATTAATTGACATTTTTCACATTATTGACTCCATCTTCACGAGTCTCAAGTGCTGCTGTAAAAGATTCTCTTTTGCCTTCAACTGATATTTGGAAATAAGTGGTTTTACCATCGATCTAAAAATATCAAAATTATCTTACGAAATATTTCAAATATTACATGACATACTTACAGGTCTAAACACAATTGCGCAAGATGCTGTGGCATGCGATATCGCGCGTGAGGAGAGAGATCCAGAAACGGATCGTTCACATTTGCCGTGCTTTCCAACCCTTCGAATCTGCACGAATAAAACATATAGTACGAATTATGACATAGAAAAAATCTTTATCTTAACGAAAATAATTGTTTATTATAAGCCTCACCTCACAACGAAATGTCTGCGATACTGGTGCACGGCATCATTTGTATTACGTTTTGCTAATTCAAGTACAACGGGAAATGCCACGTCGCGAAAATCACCGCCTATTTCATAATATTTACCGACTTTATTCAGGCCCAAATCGTTTTCCCTTGATATAACGATGGATCTTGTTGTCGGTGTATCTATCCAAATAGCACGACATTTACCGTTAAGCAATTTGGTGAACCATGAAACAGGACCAACTTTAGCTACGTTATTCCATTCAGCTTCATCATACCAGTCGTATACCTTTAAAAGCAATAGTTGTGAGAAACATCCTTGACAGATTGTATTATGCTCTTTGCATTATATAAATAAGAAAATTTTAATTAAGATACTTTTTTAAATCATAAAAATTTTGATTGACATATGTTATAGATATCATGTAGAATGTATTATCGACAATTAATCTACGCAATGGAAAACTTACAGAACAGGAGCACATCTTGGCAAGTGTTTCACGAAAATCTTTCATCAATGCCATAAAAGATATCGAATTTTTAGTATAAAGAAGAACAATATCGTCGGAAGAAAGATTATCGTGATCGATTTCTTTCTCACTGTCGTTGTTGTCAACGATACTGAGATCGGTGGATTCAAAACAAGCAGAGTTCAGAAAATCATCGTGTTGTGGATTAACATATAAGGTAACCTTCTTCTTTCGAATACATAGATGCCAGAAACATAATGTCCCGATTATCCCCGATACGATCAATACGATAATGATGATCGGCAACAGTAGATGTAAGTTTGCAGTCAGCAATTTATCTGATTTTATCATCTCACTCTTGTGATATAACGAAGCATTCACGCAACCTACAAACATAATTTGCAATACATGTAGTTTGTTTATAAAAATAAAAAGTTTCTGTAAATTAATAGTTCTATATAAAATTCAAAATATCTTTTCTGATATACTAGATGGCAAAATACGTATAATACGAATAAAAGATATCATTATTTCTTTAATTAACATTAACTTCTTTGTAATATGTTTTATCTCTGACTTGAACTTACGTTTCACCCATGTACACAGCATCGTATTTGCATGCAGTGGCTTCCAGATAGTATTTCTAAAGCATCGATCATCAAATATGTAAAATATGAAGCAATAATGTGCAGTTGGTGTAGTTTGTACTTGAAAATTACACTGTACAATCCTCATATATTCCCCGCTCCCGGTCCGCATCTATTTCAAAGTTTATATTCAATGTAACATTTATGCACACACACACACACACACAGATATATATATAAATAGATAGAGAATTAGATCTGGATTTTGATTAAAATAATTTATTGCAATCCAAAAAAGTAGTCAAAAGAGATAATATTTACCAATTTTACATTGCAATGATTTTCCGGTGTTTCCTTAAAATTAGTCGGTAAAGATAAAAAATTAAATCTGGATGTCAGCTGCAAAAAAAAGATAAGTTGCATACATATTTTTTAATAACTATATATTACCAGATTAATTGTCCATCTGTATTTTAGTGGTTCTCCATTCCAGACACAACCTTGTTCTGAATTTTTATGTGGTGATATCAATGCCACGTCAAGTAACAATCCTGTATCTATTGGTAGGGAAGTATCTAATGTAAAATTTGTTATTTCATGTCTGTAATATATATATATATCCTATTTTATATTTTAATTTCTTCACAGTATCAAGGAATATTCTATAAATAAATTTATCTTATGCAGACAATAGGAGATAGATTATTATTCTTTGAGATTTTATGATTAAATATATATACAGGGTGAGTCACTAGAAATTGCCTTCTAAGATATCTGTATGATTTTGATTTTACACAAAAACGTAAAAAAGATATCTTGGAAGGTAGTTTTTAGTCACTCATCTTGTATATACATTGATTTATACATAACAATTATTATTACTATACCTTTGATCAATATTATAATTTGAGTCATATTTACAGATAAACTGTGGTTCTGTCACTTCTGTACGTTGATAAGTAGTGTTTACAAATTTATTATAATCCTTTATTGCATATTTTTGTCTACCTATGTAAAATCGAAGTGCATAGCATCCTGTAAAGATGTGTTGAAACCACAGTTTAATATTGCCCTGAAATATCAATTGCAAAATTTAATACTAGGCACTAATTATATATATATAACATCTTATATACATATATAGGTCTTAATATTGTTTATTACCTCGCATAAGGATACTGTCGAATTATCATTATATTTTACAGGTTGATTAGTATTCCTAAGAATACACAGAGCCCTTTTTATGGTATGTACATTTGAATTAACGCCATCCATTTCTTCAAACTTATACTCTTCACATTCTCTTTCATTCTTAATCAAAGGATTAACCAATAAGGCTACTCCTAATCCGCATTCTTTTTTGGGAGGTGCAAACTCAATTTTCAGAGAATCTTAGATAAAAAGAAAGATGTGATTAAGAGATATAACCAGTTGTTTCGTGAATCAATTATTCAATATAAGAGGATGATGTACCACTTAAATTCCCTCTCTTTTCATCCCTCTTTACATAAAAATTGATATTGTCAGGAACATCTTCAGCAGTACAATAATTAATAACTGAAGGATGCTGGTATTCAATTATATTATAATTATCTATATCTCCATGACATTTTTGCTTAAACTTATACTGAAAAAAATATATATATAAAAATAAAATACATATAATAAGTATATATATATACACATACACACATACAATATAAACATCATTATGTGTATTTTATTTTATTATATGTATATATATATGCATGTGTGTAACACATATGATAATTTATTTCTCACACTAAAAAAATCTTTTATCTATTATCGCTCGTAAATAAATTACGAAGTCATATAAAGTATCATAGCATTACATATTGTTTTTTCGAGATAAGTAAGTTTATCGTACAACTCACAGTGCATGGCACATCGTCCAAAATAAATTCATCTGCCTGCACAAGAATAAATAAGAGAAGAATGACACATTGTCTACTGTACATTGTCCACTTCTATCTTACAAACAATATTCATTTTAAAGCGCGCTACACATGAGATACCGTATTGTACGATTATGCACAGAGAGCAGTTTATTCTTTGGCTATCTGCTCCAATAATTATTTAAAATAATATAAATTTTTTCCGCGTTCGCGACATGCGGGTACAACACGTAGTAATAGCGACCAAATTGCGGCGCATTACACGCTTACGTTTCATTTATCACCTTTATCATGACCTTTATCACGCTCTATTCAGTCGATAGTAGCGAACGTGCTAGTGAACAGTAATCGACACCAATTCTATAAGAGATTCTACTCACGCATACAAGAAATTGTAGAACACGGGACGTCGCAGGCTGCGACTTGAACTTGCTCGCGAGTTTTCTATCTGACAGCCGGGATACATTTAATTACACGGGGCCTGCATTATCTCGCTAAGGTAACATTGGGGATACACACCGACGGTGTGATTTAATCGACAGTATCGAAGAGTAAATAGTTTCCAATTCCTAAAAGTAAATGAACGGTGCTACTGTACGAGGTACGAAAAATGTCCCATGAAAAACGCTCTCAGTCTTATGTTTCTTTCTGATTATTATACGCCAATATACGCAATAGTATCGAATTCAATTGTGGAGGATCTGTCGAGAAGAATAGCAAAATATAGAAGAAAAAAATGGGACGAACAATTTACGCCGAGGAACATCTTCGCACATATTTAGCATCTCTAGCGAAATCGGACGGATATGTAATTGGATTAATTTTAGGACAGGTTCGACTGTATATATTTTTTTAATCTTTCAGTTTTCCCCATGTCATGTTCCCTCGTTTTTAACATGTGCGATGAACATATGTGAAAAGCAAGCAGTGCAAACTTATTTCAAGTTACTCTTCAAATTATTAGAATTCGTATATAGTGTATATAGTGCTCCAAAAGTTACTTTCTTTTTTAATCAATTTAAAAACAATGGGATTCGATTCTTAATCCTTAAGGGTCACATATGGGTTATTTTGACTCTATCGATACTTTAATAATAGAATATCTCCTAGAAGGAATTAATAAAAAAAAAAAATTTTTAATTTATTTAATATAATTAATAGTTTAAAATTCATTTTTTAATTTTTTAATTTTATATATGATTATTTTCTACAGATATCAAGAAATATATATAAATTTTTGTAGATTTTTTCAAGCACTTTGAGACAGCTAAAACTGTGATAAGACATTGTGACCCATATGTGACCAGGAACAAAGCAAAAAGATGTGTAACTTATAAGGGTTAAGTATCAGATTTAATAGTAAATTTGATTTTACAGAGTGCTGGACAAAAAGACTATGTAGTGCATTTAGCAAAGACACCACCTCCTCTCACTAAAAATGTTGTCGAAGAAACATTAATTAGCTCTACTTCGCTTGAAGAACAGGATACAGCAAATACATATATTAAATCTGTTATGGATATACCTATCAGTTGGATTGCTGATCACGCTAAACATGTATGTTACATGTATGTTATTGTCTTCTTGACAAAATTTGCAGAGTAACATATACAAGACTTGATTCTGTATTTTTATTCCTTATTTTAATTCTCATCTTTTTTATATATATTGAAATAGCACAGTATATATTGCATAAAGATAGAGGTAATAACGGTATCTTGGTTTGTTTCATTTACAGGTTACAAAAATGTTGCCTGGTGGAATGTGGGTACTTGGTGTATTTATTGTCGGACCTGAAGATACGTTAGATAATACTAATAATGTACAGAAGCTTAAATCAGTTCTTAGCGCAATTTACAAAACTCTATCATGGAATAATAAGCACCTTTATGGAAATAACCACGATGAGAAGATTATATTAAGTTTTAACAGCATCACGCAAAAGTATGCTGCCTTTGATAGTTTAAATAAACTTGAATTCTTTATATATATATCATATCTCTTAACTAATATAGTAACTTTTTTTATATATTTTTAGATATATTTGCAAGTCTATAGACATTACTAAAGATAATATATTAAAACCAGCCGACTGGAAATTCCAAGAAAGAGCAGCTAAATGGCATCAACTTGAAGCTTTAATAGACTTTGACAGATTATTTCTTATTGCAGCAGATAAGAATCCCGAGACTTTCAAAAAACAGCTACAGGTATTGATAACTGAACAATTTATTATTTTTGCAATACTATATGGACTAAAAACACAAACCTCACAGAATATCTTGGCAAGCGTAGCAGATTTAATCGATTCTTCACTCGTCGTTATCGAGGGAGAAGTCGGAGCTCCGGATGACGCATTAGAAATGATTGGCAAAAGAAAGAAAAATAGCAAAGAATGTAAAAATAAGAAAGACAATAATAATAACTCGTTTCAAGTTAATCTATACATTCCCTGCGTAAGTACAGATTTATTTAAATATTACATTTATATAGTTGGAAAATTAATTTATTAAATAAAATTTCTTTTATCTTGTTAGGAGCAAAGCGATACTAATTCTTGTATAAAAGTAACATCATGTAGTGCATCAATACGACTAATAGGACAATTAGTCAGTAGAACATTCCTACATCAAAAAGCAAGTATTGCAGAAGCCAACATGGCTGTGAAACAAGATATAGTAAGATCTCTGGCAAGCAGATTGGAAATGCATTGGGACAGTTTAATAGAAGAGGAAAATGGTTCTCCCGAAGGTAAATTGCTAATAACTTTTTAAAAGATATCTCTCTTATAGTATAACATAGATTTTGATACATTTATATTCATGCAATTTTTTATTTTCAGAAAATATCACGTTGCATGAACCACCGCGAAGGGTATTGATAGCCTTACCAGAAAATAAAGTCACACTATCAGATTATCTATTTCCCGGCGAAGGACCGCAGGAGGCATTATTGTCGCTACAAGAACTTCTAGATCTCAAAGTGCAAGAAAGTCAAGTACAAAAAGAAGTCGAGCTACAAGCTGGTAAGTAGAAATGTTACAAGTTTCATTATAATAACTTGAAAAGTTGCACATATATCATTATTTAAATATGATATATTATTTAAATATGATACAGATCCTACAGAATTTTACTGCCAAAGCGATGTCAATAATAAATCATTGGACAGTAGTACTGATATAACTAAAAGTAATTGTCAAATAAGCGTTTATCAAATAACTGTTTATCTTACTGGAATAAGTGTTGCGCTTATTATATTGATAATAGCTGTCCTTGTGCATCAACTACTCACAGTTTAATATATACTCTACGTTTGTATTTTATTAATAATGCACATGAGAGAGATACAGGCACACACACTTTGTGTCTTACACAATATATGTCTATTTTAAAATATAATACATTTTTTGAAACCATGTCTATATGTAAATTCTGATGTAAAAATATTAACTTATTTAATATATGTTACACAACAAAAACCAATATACATAATACTTATTATTTTTTTATAAATATTGTTAACGCGCGATAATTTTATTTGTAAGATGACATTCTCTCACACACATAGTTATATAAATATTTTTATATTGATAAAAATATGGCAAAACTGTGCAAAACAAAAATTACAATTGTGGCCATTTAAAAAATAAATGGTATATATTTGACAAGAAATTGTTCATATATAATATATATTTTGAGAGGAAATACAATAAAATACTAGCAAAAGTTTTCAACTTGCATTATATATTATATATATGCGGATTTCATTATACACCTACATAATATATACATATACAGAGTATTATACATATGTCTTATATACAAAAGAATAGCATTTTTAGTCTTTATAATGGCAACCCTTATATTATTAATATGACATCTCTGCTATTTTATTAATATATTCTTCAATATTATTCATATGAATAATACGTAATCCAATAATGCCAAATTAAGTAATAACATGTAGTTTTGATACAAAATTTCATCAATAAATCAGGCAGTGATAATTCTAATGTTTAAATGCTTACTACCAGCGGCATTGCTTTCATAAATTTCGTAAACATCTGTAAAACTATGCTAACATGTATGAAAATTTTATTTACAAAACTTTTTACACTGTACACATGACAAATTCCTTCAAAAAGACAATATCACTAAGAATATTCGGAAAATAAAAGAAGAAATATCATAGTTTTTGCATTGTTCAATAATACATATAATTCATTATTGAAAGCTATTCCTCTTTCTTTCTCTCTTTCTGGACCATCCTGTATTAAATAATAAAATTAATAAACATATTAAAATAATACTTTTCAAAGTTCTTTTAAGAACTTTATAGCCAATAAAAGATATACATTTAATAATGCAGGTGTTTTAAAAAATAGAAAAAATATATTATTGACTCCTCTTTTCTGGCGTACATGCAATTATTAGAGATGCACATAAATACAATATAATAAATAATGCAGTTGTAGAAAATAACGATCTCTAATTATGCAATGTTACAATTTAAATTTTTGATGCAATTGTACAAATTTAATAATACAAATAATTATATTTTTGCTTTAATAATAGCATAAGTTCGGCCGTTTTATTAATTTATAATCTAATTTTCCTAGTTTTTGAAAATCTCTCGAAATTACTTTTTCTCCCAAGAAAAAGCATAACATGATAATTATCTACCTTTTGCAATTAATGACACTAATGATCACATCTGCGTACAATTATCATTTCGTGCGGAAATTATTCACGACGAAGGTATAACAAATTGCATTTCATGCCTTCTTAATTCAATATGTTAAAATTGCACTATCCATATCAGACAGAATTCGACAGAATTCTTAAACTCTATGCGATTGATGGATAGCTGAATTTTATACTACACCCATTTTTATAAGTCCTGATTGGCTTCCTCTACCGACACTCGCATCTTCCAATGAATCCAAGTCTAAAGCGGATTCTATCATAGTCGTATCTTGCAACAGTCTAAGTCTAGACGCGGACAACGGAGTCGTTACTGCCGGTATGGAAGATGTATCCAGAGAGGAGGAGACGACGACACTTTGACGAGGAGGCAGCGGAGCGATTTCGTCGATATCAATTGGTGCTATATTGAGAGACGCTAGCGGTATTTCGTTGGTAACAAGTTGACTTATGCTGTTTGTCGTACTACCTAGAAGCAAAATTAGCGATGGTAAATAAGTAACTCGATAGTTCGCGGGTTTTTTACATGGACAATTTGTACAAAGTGCATATATACTGCATTAAGAAAAAAATAAATCATTGCTATTAAATCGTGAAAGGCAAGCTGTTATATAAAACTTCTTTAGAGGACAAAAACAAGAAAAACCATATTATACAATCAAAAAAGTGCAGTGTTGGCCTTGTGTTTCTTACACACAAATTGTCAGCAATACCAATGCAATCTCTCATTGTAATTTCAATTATTTAACTCGTTCTCAGCACATTCCATAAGATTAACAACCTATATTAGATATATCATCGAAAAAAATTTTCCTTGCGAATATTGTGTTTATTTGTGCCTGATAAAACAGATTAAATCACTTTTTATACTTTGATATATTTCTTTTTGTTCTATCATAAATAAATATAATTACAACTTTTGAAATGGTATTATTAACATTTTTATTAAATTCTAAATTTCTGTAAATTTATAAAGAAAAAATTGAAAAATAAAATATAAATATATTATAAATCTCAGCCTTTTCTAATAAAATACACTCAGTGCATTTTTCCGCATATATTATGTCTATTAAAACTTATTTACAAATTATATAATGTCTCTCTTCCATCTATAATATAGAATCCCAAATTATTGAGCAAACAATTAGTCACAAACCATAAACCCTGTATAATCAATACATTATTCTAAAATTAGTCTTATAAAAATATTAAAAAGAAACATGTCACATGTGTGATTTATTAATGCTAGTGAAGATAAAAATCAGATAATTTGTATATTAAAACACTCAATCACGATCAAAATGTATGAAATAAACTTACCAAATAGTACGCTGTGAGCCCTCGATAACAGGACGTAATTTTAAACAACAAAGAAATACAATTTATTGAATTATATCCAAGTTTTACTAATTACTAAAAAACTTATATATATATATATATATATATATATATATATATATATATATATATATATATATATATATATATATATATATATATATATATATATATATATATATATATATATATATATATATATATATATATATATATATATATATATATATATATATATATATATATATATATATATATATA